TATTATTTAAAACAAAATTTGGTTATGGGGCATAAGGCATTCATGGCAGGGTGGGAGGGAGGCACCCCCCAAGGGAGATGGCCACACTGGAATCCCTGCCCTCTGTTCTATCGAGATTTTTCTCCTCTACTCTCCTCTCGGGATTTCGGGCATGTATGCACATGTGCCAGGCGTGTTTATCAAACCTACAGGTCCAGGACTTGAACAGCCAGCCATGTGAGATCTACCCCCTTAACAACCACATCACTGGCTGGTTCCCATAGCAGGATTTTAAAGATCAAATAAGAAAATTACGTGGAAAAACTGTTAGTCTGGTCACCCATGCAGAGGTATGCAGAATTCAGTCCTTTCCTTTTCTGTCCAAAGTCAATAAATGATGCCCCTGAAGTGTGCTGCTTTGCTTCATTTTGTCATTTTACTGCCTCTGTAGATGGCCAGCAATCTCACTTACAAAATGATTACCTACCCCCAGAAAGAGACCAAGGAGCTAGGTCTGTAAATTTAGTTATTTTCAGATTCACACTCTAGGAACCTTGTGGAGCCCTGATATAAACAAGACAGATTAAAGACGTCATTTTGTTCACATTCCTTTATTTTATAAGTTCACACCTATGATTTTATAACAATCAAGAAAATGATGTTGCGAACTAGATGCTCTTTTTTAAGAGATATTTTTGCTATAGGGTGTGTGTGCTTGCTGGAAAGAGATAGAAAACAAGAAATCACCCCCGGGGAAATGGCCACACCACAATCTCTTCTCTATCTTAGATTGGGGGCATGCATACACATGCACCCAGCCCGAGTTTCAAGTCACCAGGTCCAGGACTCGAACTGTGGTTGGCCACATGGGAGTCCAACATCTTAACCATTTTGTCACCTGCTGGCTCTGAGAACTAGATGCTTTTGATGATACATACCAGAAATCGGATTAAACATGGCTGCTGCACTATTATCAAGCTCAGCATTTGATTCTGTCATCTGTTTTGACTGCACAGAATCAATATAATTCTGATTCACACAGAAACGAAATATCACAACCACTGTTCATGATCTCCCTCATAAATGTAAGGCAATATAAACCTAAAATCGACTGATGACACATGTCCCATGTGACATGCTACACTTACACCTGTTACCAAACAAGCCGATGCATCAGGAAGAGCTGGCCAGCACAGGTGCCTGAGCCTAGCCTGGGCCGTAACAGCATTGCTCATGTGTAGTGATAGACCTTCTGGACAATTCTGTATGATTGACACAAATTAGCAGAGGCAAATTTATTTATTTATTTACTTATCGAGGGGGAATTTTTTACTACAGGGTATGTGCACTCGCGAGAGAGGCAGAAAGCAAGAAATCACCTCCTGGGGGGGATGGTCACGCCACAATCCCTTCTCTTTCATTCTCTTCTTGGGATCTTGGGCACACACGCATATGAGCCCAGCATGAGTTTTAAGTCACTGGGTCTGGGACTTTAACCATGCTTGGCCATGTGGGAGTCCAATGACGTAACCACTATGCCCCAGGAGAGGCAAATTTAGATAAATACCAGTACACTACATCCTTCCTAGTCAGTGACACATTTAATTTTTTTTTTTTTTGAGAGGTTTTTGCTATAGGGCATGTGTGCTCGCCAGAAAGACAGAGAGAGACAGAGAGATAGAAAGCGAGAAATCACCCCCTGGGGTGGATGGGCACGCCGCAATCCCTTCTTCTCCATTCTCCTCTCAGGATCTTGGGCACGCACGCACATGCGCCTGGTGTGAGTTTAAGCCACTGAGTCCGGGACTTGAACCACGGTCAACTACATGGGAGTCCAGCGACATAGCCATTATGCCAACTGCTGGTCCCGAGACACATTTAAATATTAAACAGGTACAGAAATGAGAGGGTTTATACTGAGAACTGCACAGGATGAGTTACTTGGCAGCACAAGGCAGGACTGGTTCCTGTCCATCACGGCAGTATGGACTGCTGTATCTTTATGCCCTGCTCATTGCCAGATATCCCTTCCTGGCTTCCAAGACTCAGGTCCAAGTCCTTCTAATCCTGCCTGGAGAAAGACCTCCACCTCAGCTGCCTCGGCCTGCTCTATCAGGACCAGAAACTGCAATAGGCCAGGAACCGGGCCATCCTCTGGGCGGTCGAGCTGTCTGTGAACTGTGGACTGCCCAGCACCAGCGTGGCCTAGGCAGACCTGATTCACAGCACCTTTCCCAAATGCTCTTCGCTGTACCAGTTTCTGTAATAAAGGTTCCAGCAGTATACATACCCAGTTTTCTTCATCCTTCTGGTAAGTGGTTAGATATCCGACTTCCAACTCCCTAGATTACAGATAACCCCAAAACCTGCTCAAGAGCCTCCGGCATTCAAGGGCCTCAATGAAAGCATCATTTCTCTAGAATACCCTCCAGTGCTGGGTCTCTGAAGTTCTTTAGCAATTGCCTTTTTTGCTGCGTCTGACATCGGCCATGACTTAATCATTGAATAGTACCAAACTCTTCTGGCTCTGGAGGATCCCTGCCTGAGAATACTCTCAGCTTTTTACACTACAAGTATTGCAGAGCAGGCTGAAGACCCTCATCAAATACATGTGCCATCACATGGGCTCACGTTTCTAGAATCATGTCTTTTTTTTTTTTTTTTTTTGGAGAGGTTTTTGCCATAGGGCACCGCCAGAGCAACAGAGACAGAGAGACAGAAAGCGAAATCAACCCCCAGGGGGGATGGTCATGCGGCAATCCCTTCTCCTCCGTTCTCCTCTTGTGATCTTGGGCACGCACACGCGCCCAGCGTGAGTTTTAAGCCACCGGGTCCGGGACTCGAACCGCGGTCGGCTACGTGGGAGTCCAGCGACATAGCCATTATGCTAATTGTTGGTCCCTAGAATCATGTCTTGATCTGGGTCAAAAGGGTCATTCCCATAACCAAGAGCTCAGGCCATGTCACCTAACTCACTGTCATGCCTTCTCCCTCCAGAAACTCATTTAATCTGTTTAAAAATCCACTATCTGGGTCAGGGGGCTTAAAGACCATTCGCCAGACATCTCCTTACCCGGTGCCTCCTTAGGGATCACAGCACGACTAGTCTCCGTAAGCTCTATTCAGGCTGCATTCCTGTTCTCCCACTGAAGGTCCTCCCATGCAATCTGTACTCCCCCAAGGAGGCGGAACCAGCCAGGAGAACCACTTGTTTTTTTGCCACACTACAGGTTTGGGGATTCACATCAATCCTCTACATTCCTCCTCTACAAGCCTCAGCACCATGGTGCTTCCAAACAGGCTAACACTCTATTTCACCTGGGGCAGAGATGCCCACCGCAATTCAGTTATCCTCCGCAGTACCCCAGATCAGTCTCGTCCACGTACCGAGGTCCAGCAGCCTGAGGGGACAGAGTGGCCAGGTTAGCTAAAGGTGTCACCGCCCAGGACGCACGTTTGGGCCCCCCAAGCCCAAGCGCCAAAGTGCGACGCTCTGTCACAAGGCGCCTCCTTCCCCCGCTCGGGCGCTCCAGCGGCTAACCGCCCTCGCCGGTATCTTACGCTCCGTGCCTGCCT